CTTCGGACGGGCTGACCCTTGCGATTATCCCTAATGTGGATAACTCGGGCGCAAATTTTTGGTAGCCGGGACTGCGTACGCGCTATCCCGAACATTATATAACTTCAAACATAATTACTATTTTTTATATTGGTAATATTAGTAATTAGAATAATTTAAAACATATATATATATATAACTATTTCTTCTATTCTATTTATTTTAGAACAATCTTAGTTCTATTAGTCTTGTAGTAAAATATTTAATTTATAACTGTCTGAAGAGAATAACTGTTAAGATAACATATATAAATATATATTTTCTATTCAGGCGTCGGTCCAAATTTTTCATTGAACAACGAAGATTACAATAAATAATATTTACAATTCTCAAAGAATCTTTTAATGTCTAAAAACATAGATCAATGGGAATTCTACTAAATCATATTGTACTAAAATGCAAAAATAAAAGAAATCTAATTAATCAACTTAATTATGAATAATGTCGACTAAATAAAGTAACCAATAGATTTACATTTAATTTAATTACAATATTTTTAATATATTGGTGAGATTGTTTCCTAATGTAAATTATTAACTGCGACATAATTCACTGAATATTTCATGTCAGTTATTGTATACCTAAAATGAATAAATGGAACAGGATTCCGCTTGCCCCTTGTTATTTAAATCTAAAATGAATACTGCATGCAATCTTAAAATGAATTACAAAATACTGCATTTAATATTACTCATTACAAAAATATATCCTAATATTTCTATATAAATAAAAATCAAAATAATTTTACATTTTAAATAATATATTATACAATTATATTAGCCGAATAAATACATTTATTTAATAAATGTGTAATAAGCTCCATTGGAATTACTTAAATTACCAACTTCTGATTATTATTAATCTTTAAACACGTCATGAAAAATGTATGGAATTTGTTATCTCATTTCTCATTAATATATTGAGAAATGATTCTAGAAGATTGATTTTATACTTTTTTTTTGGTTTAATGGAACTTTTTAATTTAAAAAAATGCATTCTTTTAAAATAATTGTGATCATATCTACATGCATTGTTTGTTATTCAAAACTATGCAAGCAATACTAACGATTATGTTGAAATTACAAATAAGTATATTGTATAAAACTCTGGATTCATTGTTCTACAAATAATGGTGCGTTTCCTGATTTGTCCAACTTTGTTTACACATTATATTTTTAGGAATTAGGGACTCCATGTATGTGCGTGGCCAATAAATGCACTGTACCACTGCGCCTTCTGCGTTGTATACTATCGTGTCTCAAGTCTGTCAAATAGGGAATCTCTTGTCTTAACGTTACAACTTGGAGCAGTGATCGGGTAACTTTACTTACCCCAAAATATATATATTTACGCCGATGTCTCATTATTTATACAATAACATCATTTTGATCAATTTTATAGTTATTATAAATACAAAGTTAATTATTTTAACCATGAGGCTGAATATTATTAATTTATATAAGAGAGATATTTTAATTTGGTCATTCCTCCGGTTATTGTATATACCAATATTTTTATAGGTTGTTTAAGTAGCAAAATAATATTAAATAATGTTATCAGAATAAAAATATATAAATAAATGATAAATAGATTAGAAGATGGAGCATCAAATATTGAAAAGTTGCTATTTTATACAAATAAATAGATAAGTTTTTAACGTTCTTTAAAAATTTAAGCATATAGATCACAATTGTATTGCTTAGCAATAACGATAGACGGGATTTGCCCGAGAATACATTAATTAAAATAAGTTTAAGTGAGCTAGGAAAGTTTTTCAATAAAAAGCAACAACGTTTTTGCGATCCGATATCAGTGTAATCATCTACAAAAAGAAAAAAATGATGGAGAAAATTCTCAAATCCTTCAAAACCGTAAGTCAAATACAAAAATATTTCTTTGATGGAAATCAACTTTATTAAAATAAGTTTAAAATTCTAGTTTTTTGGATGTGTCAATGCTAATTCCGCAAACCTTGAGATTGACGTCGATAGACATGAAGACGACGAAGTGAACAGTGAAAATGACCGTTTGGTGGAGGAGGAGCAGGCAGTTGGGATGATTGTGGCTGAATTTAAGAACCAAGAAGATGGTGATTCAAACTGTGATTTGGTGCCAGAGTCCAGGGTTATAGAACTGGACTACTATGATGAAGAGGGGGAATGCGATGAAATCGTTCTGGCAATATGGTCGGAGGAGGACAGGAATATACCGTACATCCAAGCGCCGGTATACTTGTAAGGGAAAGTACAAGGAATCGCCATTCATGGAAGTTATTACTTATAAATTTCTTAATATTTTTCTCTCTCTAAAGACATACGATTTATTATAAATCAAATGAAATTGCCGTAAAGTAAATCAAAAAGTGTCCGCGAAAAGTGAAAACGTAACCCGAAGGCGGGGAAAGCCCCGTTTTCCGCACCTTACGTAATTTACGAGAGATTCACCTCTCCTCCCAGCACTCGCTCAATATAGATCGAATTTGTTTGGAGGTGGGTCCTCAGGCCTGGCCATTTATCTTGGCCCACCTCCGGTTATTCGAGCCCCCCTCGATCTATCTATCAAAAACCGTCTTCTTATTAATACATATACCCTCAACATAAAATTTAATTTTTCATTCAACGCGTCTCTATCTTCTTCACTCCTGCTCTTCTTGCAATAATAATATAAAGGGGAATGGTGCAAAAGTAAACTGAAATTGATGCGTGACACTTTGCCGCGAAACGAGATTAGTCTATGATAGATTAGGAACTGAAACGATTACATAAAAAAAGGAGCGTGAGACGGAGAGAGAAAGAAGGAAGTGCGCTCGGCAAGTTCCCAGACCTTTGCCCCAAAACCCTTCGAACAAATTTGGAACTTTAAATACCCACCGCGGAGGCAACTTCATTCTTCAATGTAAATTTATGCAGAGTTAACAAAGTTTAACCTACATATTTTTCAGGAAATTTAAGCGGAAAAACAAGTATATACTTTTCTGGGAGACAAGAAAAAGCACCACAGTTATGCACTAAAGCTTTAAATCATGTTTTTAAATAATGCAGTTTATTTTTTGTAAATATTTTAATTAGGAAAAGTTTTTATTGTAATAATTACGAAACGAATTAAATAAGCTGTCGGTCGTCGCAGTAAACATATTTCATAAATACAAATTAAGACTAATTGCGTTCTAGTGATTGTAAATATCGATTATTACTATTTAATATAAACGTTGGTCGAAGAAAACGTTAATGACGGTAAAATTTGCAAAATGTTTTTTATTTCAGGTATTGACGTGTCTTCCCATCGAAGATGGCCGCTTTGTATATAATTCTATAACAAATTATAGTCCTTGTTCAAACGTTCTATTTTGTATTTAAATATTTTTAATTTGTCGAAATTTCAGTATACTACAGTGCAATTATTTGTAAATTGTATTTATATTTTTATATTTGTCGTTGTTTTCATGTATAAATTCATTAATGAAGACAAATCTGATTAATTTTGCAATAACAATAATGTTTAGCAAACCTCTCCAATCAAATGAAGTATGATTTTTATAATTATAAATTCTGATCCTTTCTTAGTCAATTTCCAACTATTTTCATTATTTTAGCGCATTAGTAATCGATTGCGCCAATTTCCCGGATTGATTGAATCCAAGAACTAAATAAAAAACAGATAAAATAAGAAAATAAAAGTTCATTTATATGACGTCATTTTGCAGACCTACTTCAGCCCATAGCTGGAATATCCTGGAATATAATAATAATCAAATATCCCAGGAAGGACTTATAAGGGTACTACCTCTTCATGGTATATAAGGTGTAGTATATCTCTAATCCTCCTCTAGTCTAGTCTAGTGTCTCTTGTACCTTGGACTGGCTATACTGTAAGATCTCTATTTTTCCTATGTTTTTCTCTCTTTGTGTCATTTTCTATCTGTGATGTCCTTAAATAAACATGTGTGTGAATACCGCCAGTGTGGAATTAAATATTTCTACCCTTCGAAGATTCCTTTCCTGTACCTATATTCGAGCATCTCGAAATAAGTATTGATTTTACTAATAATATACAAACCATAGTTAAAAATGTAGAAGTTTAATGAGAATGCCAACATCTCAACTATAATTTAGATCTGTTTTTAAATCCAATAAATGTGAAAAAGAATTTAGCGGACTAGTATTTTTAGAAACATAACAAATATTTGATTTTTTTTTATAATTTCATATAAAATCAAAATCATTATTTAATAAAAATAATAAACTAAATAAAGGTAATTGATTCATTGTATAATATATTTAATTATGCATTGTATAAAATAACATATTATATCGCAAATAATAACAGAAATTTGAATATATTATTTGGAAGTTATAATTAAAATTCATTAATTTATTTAATTAATGTATTACAACTTCGAGCATAATCAATAATAATTTTATAATAATTAATTATTATAAAAACTAAAACAAACCATAATATATTCTAGTAAAAGTCGTATATTTAATTAAACAATCTATTTATGTAATTTAATTTTACTTGCATAAAAGGAGGGCAGCTCGTATTTGGAACGAATTAAAGGTCTTTCCAATTTAAATGTATTTAATTTCTAATTGTATGTAAACCTAGAATGTAAACACCACTAAGAAGACTTAAAATAATTAACCTACATACCATTACGCATACATTTTATGCTAGTTTAATAAATAATATATTTAATGGTAAATGACTATAATTGGTAAACTTTATTTATGTTTACGCGTTTCTGTTTAAGATCGAATCAAACATGTGTAAGATGGAAACGACAGGTAATATAAATGATAATTTATTATAGCCAATTGGAATGTTTAGTCGTTGATTTACTCAACTCATTTATTTAATTTGTAGAGATATATATTGATTATACAATTGCTTTACTTTACTTTTCAAATACAATAGAACAGCGTTTCTCAGGCTTTTTTCCGCGCGACCCAACATATGTTTGTAGTTGTAAAACAACTCAATTGATAAGAGTATTTTACCATTCTCTTCATTTAACAAGGTGACAGCTGTCAGTTTGAGACCCAAAATTATGCAACCCAATTTTAGATTGCGAGCTATTGAGAAACGCTGCTATAGAATGTTACATAATTTAGTCGAAGACTGTAGAACCAGTGAATAATTAGATGTACTTTGTTTTTAATTAATAAAAGAGTTAATATATTTTTTACCTTTCAATATTTTAATGTACCTTAAATATAATTATGCGTTCTTTTTTCATACTTTTCGAACTACACGTTTTTCTCAAGAATCTATCTTCCGTGCAAATTGGGGGATAGGTGTAAATAATCCATAAATATAGAAGGCATTGAAATTATCGACGTAAATGTCAAACTGGAATTGATGTGAATTGAAGGTTAAATTTCATGCTTGATTGTACAAGACAACAAGGAAGTCGTGGAATGAATCTGTTGCAAGCGACATTCCTGATTGAGGCTATTGAGGATATTGTGTTGTTAAGTTTGCAACCAGGGGCAAAAGGTTGAACTAGGATGGCCACTGGAATTAACTGAGAGGTCACAGGTGAATGAATTAATTATTGAGGATCCATTTAAACAGCGCTCTTGTATCAAGTAGTATAATAAACTTCACTAACTGCAGTAATAATATTTGTAAATGGTTGGTTGTTTTCTTTTTTAAGTAAAACTATTAAGTACTTTAATCATATAAGTAATACATTTGTTTATCAGAAACATAGTTTTTACCTAGTAAATGATGACAATATTTTTGATAAAATGCTTTTCATCGTGAAAGTATATCTCTATTAGTATTATTATTCAAACAATTCATCTTCGTTTATTTCAAGTGTTATTCACAATATGTTTGCGTTCGAATCAACCATTCATAAAAACTATGATTCACTGTCAATCATCAAATTACAAAATGAATTTGCTTTTTCATTAATTTTTATTTATTTGGTCGTAACAACTGTATTGATTAGCAAATACTAATTTATTATAATTTTCGAAAAATACAATATTTTGTGTGAACTTTCATGCATTTTATGCACATGACTTACTTTTATTTTTGCTTTATTAGAAAAATAAAACCATTAGTCTACAATTTATTAAGTAAAATGCAAAAGATATATGCCTTTATATTATTCCTTATATTACTTTTGACTTGTCGAATATCACTGTATAGGGCTGTTTGTAGATGAAAAACCAAGTTGCAAGGGTGAATAAAAAAATCGTTTGGTGGATTCAAGATAGCGTCCATTTTCTACTTACATCAATGCTTACACTACGTTACTTAAACTATTCTATACTCAACGTTATTTAATAATGTACTTAATATTATTCTAGTTAATACTTTACTTAATACTGCTCTTCTCCATGCTTAACTCTTCCGAGCTAAGCTTTCCTCGCCAACTTTATGCTGCTCACCTGTCACAACCAATATTGCGCTCAAACAAAGGTTAAACACAATTTTATGTACTAGATGATTACTATTGACTATGTTATTAATTTTAATTTGTTTGAGAAACGTTTTATTTTTCATTATTATTCTTAAATTTAGATCAATTTAGATCATTTAGATTGTTATATTTATCTCATCAAATATTTTTTAAATTTTCGTGTCAATCAATCATCAAACACCAATCGGCGCTCACATAAATATTATTATATTTAAAAAAAATTAGTGTTTTAAATATATAAATTATTACATAAAATAGATTTGTTTCCTTTTACGTATTTAGATTAAGTAACATTTTAAATACCATAGGAAAATTTAAAATGCCTATATTAGTTTATTGAATACAAGTACATTCATACTTCGATTAACAAATAGAATGCGTTCCAAGAATATTCGTTTGCAGAGATAAAAATACTATAGTCAAATTTTTATTGAATTTACCACTTTATGTAATTTAAAAGAACTTTGGTTGTTAACATTTTTCTATTCTATTACTTTCTGCTGCAATAATTTCAGATCTTACAACATCGAACTTCGGTTAGTGCTTAGTTATCAACATACAAAATGTACCAAATTCTTATTTTCTTAGTTATTTTTTGCTACATGTTGCACAGTTTTGAATGTATAGCAAAAATCATTTATGAAATAAATTAAAATCATGATATAAATATATTGATTTGTGCTCTACTTACTACCTCATGTTTACATTGTTATGACATAAAACTAATTATTTTATAACTTGTATTTGTTTCTCAATAAAAAAATACTTTGACTTTATAAATTAATGTACAATGGGTCTAACAAAAGTTAAAAAATTAATTCATTTGTTTCTGAAAAAAAAAGAAGTTGTTTCTCAATTTGTTAAAGTCATGTCAAATGTCAATGTGCAATAAATGCAATAAATGAAATATTAGTGATATAAGGTTTGTAGAAATTCCACCACCAACACAGCAAAAATTTGTTTTGCCATTCTCTACGGATTTCGACGTCAACTCAAGCCTATGAAAATTTTGCATCAACCCTTGTGACTATTTCCAAGTGGTTTCAAACATCTCAGATCGGACATTTTTCTGTGGAAAACGAACCTCGTAAAGGTTGCCTAAAATCTTTGACCGATGATACAAATGTAGCCCTGGTGAAGGCAAACATTGACGAAGATCCAAGAGTGACACATGAAATGGTAGTTGATAAACTGTGCTTAAATGCCATGGCTTTGTCGCAAATATTGCATCATCACTTTGGCTGCACGAAGAAATCCGCTCGATCGGTAGAAAGTAATAAAAGCTTATATATAAGTAAATTTCATTAAAAAAAATAATGAGAGTTTCAATACTCAACATGATCGTATTCATAAATATATTTATATATCAAATGTATATATTGGTTACTACTACAGCGTTATTCATCTTCTATATTTATAAAATAGTATTATAATACAGTTATTTATAAGGTTCGCTTTTTTATACTAATAAAGATTTAGCTTAAAACCTAATAATCCTTCTTATCAGAATGTTTAATAATCATTGTGTCGAGTAAGATTAAAATTTAGATGCAATTTCCTTCCACTTTCGTAATGGACTTAAAACACTAGTAATTAGACTCTTCATTTTTTTCGCGCCCTGGGCGCTATGATATGGCTTATGTGTTTGTTCAGGAGCGAAAGAGAGATAGATAAAGAGATAGAAAGAGGAAACGAGATGAAAAGAGAAAGAGAGAACCGAGGCTACGAAAAGAGTTTTTACTCTGGGACCGAGGGGTGTCTGTTAAATCGATTTATGTGTTCCATTTGTCCTCCCCATTGTTACCGTTTTAGACTATAAAGCATTTTTACGGCCTCCCGCTTGAACGGACGCAAATAAATGAACGAGACGTTATTTTATACTAAGTAGAAAGACACAATGAAAACTATAACGCTTAACTCGAGGCCCACTCGCGAGTCGCCCCCGCCAACTGCATTCCCTTTTCCTTCCTGGTTGCGGAGGAAAGGGGATGA